AGGAGCTGCTGTCTGCCTAAGACCTTGGCTGTGCCCAGGGCGCCGTGAGGAGCTCCGTTTATTCAGTCGGCAATGTTTATAAAAGCTCATCTGTGGACATAGCGTTGTACTTTAGATTCCCTGCCCTCTGCTTTCTTAATTAGTTAATAAATTATTTTAGAATGTTGGTGTTGTATGGTCAAGAGTGGAAGTTTTTGCCTCCTAAGTATTTAAAAACACGAACACCACCAGTGTTCTTGTGGCCATAAATACAATGTTGGTTTGTTGTTGTTGTTGTTTGCTTCCAGATTTGAGCCCTTTCATTTAGCAGGCACTGTACATGACTCAGCTGTCTCATGTTTCATTTCATAAAGTCTTCCTTGCTAGCCTGACCTTAGAGATAAGAAGACACTCGGGGAGGTGATGTGTGTACCCGGCTGGGATGTGACTTTGTTCCCTGAGTTAGTAATAGATACCACCCCTCTTCTCTCTTCTAGCTGTGCCTTTCTGTTGTTTTAAAAATATATATTTATTTACCCTTTAAAGATTTAGTGTATCTGTGTATGAGATAGATAGAGTGTGTGTGTGTGTGTGTGTGTGTGTGTGTGAGAGAGAGAGAGAGAGAGAGAGAGAGAGAGAGAGAGAGAGAGAGAGCGCCTAGAGGCCAAAAGAGAGTGTCAACCATTACATATAGTTGTGAGCCATCATGTGGGTCCTGAGACTTGAACCCAGGTCCTCTGGAAGAGCAGCCAGTGCTCTCAGCTGCTGAGCCATCTCTCCAGCAACACCCCCTTCTGTTTTTTATTTGTTGTTGTTTTTGAAACTGGCCTCTCAAACGGCCTGGGTTGGCCTCAAACTTGCTATGTAACCAGGGGCTTCAGCTTTTGATTCTCTTGCCTCCGCCTGCCAATGCTAGGGTGACAGCAGGAAGCACCATCTCTGGGTTTGTGTGGTGCTGGGGATCAAACCCAGGCCTCTGTTCTTGTTAAGTGAGCGCTCTACCAACCGAGTCCCGTCTCCAGGCCACGGCTGGCCTTCTCTGCATCTTGGCTCTATTTTTGAAGCTATTAGAAATCGTCTCAAGGGTCAAGATGTGAACAGGCCTTAAGTATTTATTTTGCGCATGAATTCTATGTTTTTCCAGCGCCTGAAAACAGGAGGCCTCAGTGTGTGGGTGTGCACTGGAAGTGTGGGCATGGCATGTGACCTTTGATAGTCTCTTCTCAGCTCAGACTTTTGGGGAAGATTTATTTTATTTTATGTATCTGGGTGTTGCCGGCATGTATGCCTGTGTACCGCATGGCATACAGTGCCATGAAGACCAAAAGAGGGCACTGGATTCTCTGGATCTGGAGTTATAGACAGCTGTGAGCAGCCATATACGTGCTGGACGCGTACTCTTAACCACTGAGCCCTCTCTCCAGCTCATAGCCACTAGATTTAAAAAATTCGTATGGGAACATAAAAATGCCACAAACAGAGAGGTCATCTGTATGCTACCAAGATAGAGAAGTCAGATAGGTCAGCCAGAGACCATCCACGCAGAAAGGTGCAAGTGGGCATCCTGAGGGCAGAGGGGAATCCTCAACTCACCATAGCCCAGGCATAGGTTGTATGGGTTCGTCCAAGTGACCCAGATCTTGAGAGCCCTGGTCGAGTTGCTATGGTCTCCAGCCCTGTTAAAAGGAACCATCTCACGACCACTTTCCTTCTTTTGTGCCATTTCTTAGAATGAGGTTGTTTGACGGAGAGCTGTAGCACTCAGAACTAAAGATACAGTGATTCGTACTCCTACCCCCGAAGTAAAATAACTGGGGCTTGAGAGCTGGCTAGGTTACCAAGAGCTGCTCCTGCAGAGGACTCGCGTTCTGTCCCTGGCACCCACCTCAGGCAGATCATAACTGCCTTCCTGTAACTCCAGCTCCAGGGGATCTGATGCTCTCCAGATTCCACGGGCACCTGCCCTCAAGTGTACAGACACACGGACACACAGAGATGCTCAAAAGTGAAAAATAATTAAAAATATTTAAAATTCAAGCCCCTTGAGCCCTGTTCTCCTTTTCAGACCTTACCTTCATTTTCCATGATTCCCCAGGGAGTTTTAAAGACTTTCCTGGGTGCCAGGAAGCTGCCTTGGGAATCATAGAACTTTTGACAGCTTCCTGTCTTTGCAGGAAGTGCCCATGGGACACAATGCTTGGTTTAGAGAAGACTGTGGCATTCTCTCCGATCTGGGGACATGGGACGTAGCTTTGCATATTGTTCATCTTAGGCGTCTAGTGGCTTACTCTTATTTTTCAATTTTAAATTGTGTGTGTGCGTGCGTGCGTGTGTGTGTGTGTGTGTGTGTGTGTGTGTGTGCATGCATGCGTGCGTGTGCGCATCCATATGGAGGTTAGGGATAACCTTGGGTATGGTTCTTCAGGTGCCACCCACCTTTTGTTTCACCTCAGGGGTCTCTCACTGGCTTTACCAATTCTGGCCAGCACACTCCAGGTCTGCACTTGCTTCTGCCCCCCCCCCCCCTTAAATGTTCTGAGCTAATGTTTTAATGAATTCTGAGTGTGGAATTCAGGTCCTCATGCTGTGTGACGGGCCATCTCCTCAGCCTCCCTTACATCAAGTAGAGGTTCTAGTGTGGCTATCCCCCCCCCCCCCCCCCCCCCCCCCCCCCCCCCCCCCCCCCCCCCCCCCCCCCCCCCGACTCCCGGCCTTCCCACCACCCTTCAGGCATGCCTTTAGGAGTAACCATGTTGCCATTTGAAGTTTTAACTTATTTCTTCCTAGCCTGCCAGTGGCTTCCCTCTGACTGAGACAGTCAAGGCATCACGCTCAGGGGAAATTCCCTTTTGGCTCACGGCTCACTTTTCATTTCCTGGACTTGATCAAAGATTTGCTGAGGTTCACCAGCTGTCCACCTCCCTCCTTGTTGCTCTTTTAAATAACTCGTATGGCAAAGTGTGATTAGCCACCCAAATCAAACGAGTCTCTTGAGCCCTGATGGCAGGCACCAAGCGGAATGCTAGGGCATCGCTGTCCTAGGAGAGGAAGCTGCAGTAAGATTGACGATGGTATGGCTGCCTTTCCTTGGGAGCCAGGATGTCCTCTGATATGCCTGACAAGGCCACTGGGCGTTAGAGAGGAGAAGTAGGGACACACACCAGCTTTACGTGACTAATCATGCTCCCTGATCATGTGTGATGGCCCAGAGAGAGGACACGTCTCCGTCTGGCATGGTTCTTGTGCTCTGCCGAGAGTTGAGTCTTTGTTCCCACACACATACCCATTGAGCTCACTCACTAAAGCAATTATCATCACTTAGCTGCCTTTTCAGAAAGCCCGATTTCCACTCCAAAACACCACTTGTATTGCCAAAGTGCTACAATGTTGCATCCTGGCAATTGATCAGCGTTCACTGCCAAATTATGTAAGCCCTTGGTGGGGCTGCCTGATGGATCAAATGTGTCTGTGATGTGTGCTAGGATCTTACAACAGGCCTGGTGCCCTGAAGTGGAGACCGGCTACTCTCAGGTTTATTCATTAATTCAGTGTTTATGCTTTGATTGGATAGGAAATCTACATTCACTCAGCTGAGAAATGTCATTTTGAGAAAATATCGAGTTGAGGTTTGTTGTCAAGGAAATGTGAATTGCGGCTGGTTTATGAAATTCAGATTATGTGGATTGCTTCGCCAGCCTGGAGCTGGGATTGGAATAAACCATGGTGGCCATATTCAAAGACTGAAATGTAAGTAGTGTTAATTGCAGTACCGGTGGCAAAGGACTCTTAAAACCCTAGTTGAACTTCTCATTAATAAATATCAGAAGAAATATTTCCATTGAAAAGCCAGCATAAGGAGAGATTACTGGTGAATAAAAAGAAACTCCATTTAATAAACAGAACACACAAAGGAGCCCCAGTGGATGTCTTTGTTTATATAGAGGCTCTTAAAAACAAACAAACCCAGTGTCAAGTGCTGACTTAGCACCTGGTAGACCCTGGGTTTGGTCCCCAGCACTGCTCACAAAAGATCGGTAATGGTTGCACACATTTGCATTCCCACCAGCAATGGATGAGTGTACCCCTTTCTCCACAACCTCTCCAGCAAAGGCTATCATTGGTGTTTTTTATTTTAGCCATTCTGACAGGTGTAAGATGGTATTTGAATCAGGTTCTCTGCGCCAGCACTGTGTAAACCAGGCATGGTGACAAACCTCACAATCTGAGAGCTCAGGAAGTCGAGGCAGGGGGATCAGAGTTGAAGGTCATTCTTGGCTACATAGCAAGTTTGATTTAGCTGGGGACACATAAGACTTTGTCTCAAGAAAAAAAGTAATAGGGGCAGACAGCTAGATGCCTCAGTGGGTGAGGGTGCTTGCTGTAAAGCATGATGACCCGAGTTCGAATTTTGGGGTGTAATAGTAGAAGCTGAGACCTGACTCCAGCTTGTTGTCTTCTGGTCATGTGCTTACTATGGCACACGTGCATCTACACACATGTACACACACATATACACAAAATAAATAAATGTCAAAGATTTTAAAGCCAGATGTGTACTAAAGAAAAGGCTGATAGTGTTTTGGGAGGGAAATTGGCAGAGGAAGGGAAGACTAAAGGTAAGCCTCAGTTTTCATGGAAAAGTACCTCGTTCTTAATTGCTGGCAGCCAGAACACTCTCTTGGTTAAAAATAAATAGCACAAAGTGTGAGGAAACCTACTAAGGGAGAAAAAAATGTCCAGAATAGCTGGAAACCAGAGCGGGGCTATGCTAGAGGCCAGGTCATTACACCAGAGACTGCCCTCGGGCCAGGACTGCAGCCAGTGTTGGCAAGCCAGCCAGCTCTCGGGCTCAAGGACATCCAGAAAGGAGTGCGGGGAAGCTCAGTACTCAGCCGTGGGTTCTGGAGTCCCTTTGCTGTTTAGCATGTCCAGCTGGCTGTGAACCATTTTCCCCTCCTCTTATCCTCACCTTTGCTTAAACAGATGTGATTCTAATGTAACGTCCTCTTTCCTCCTGCCAGCCGGGACAGCGAGTCATGGAGCTGTATTTTGGTGAATACCAACATGTTCAGCAGGAATATGGGGTTCACCTGAGACTCGCTAGTGATGACGCCCCGAAGCCAAGGAATTCCCAGTCCTCAAAGGCAGGCTCCTATGGTGTCAGCATCAGGGTCCAGGGAATTGATGGCCACCCCTACATAGTCCTGAATAACACCGAACGCTGTCTAGCAGGTACACCTTTTCCAGAAAACGGGCCAGCGTTCCCATCATCAGTGATAAATAATATGTCCTTACATCCCAGCAACGGGAGCATGTTGAAGGAGAACAGTCCGGAGGAGCTGCAGCTTCCAGAAAACCCATACCTGCCAACCAGCCTGATAAGAAACCAGAAGCAGGCTTCCCTCCATGAGGGCAGGAATGGAGTTGTAGAACGCAAAGACGGGCCCACAAAACTTCCCCACGTGCTCAACTATCAGAGGCACCCGGAGCTCCTGCAACCCTATGACCCCGAAAAGAATGAGGCAAGCTCAAAAAAGCATCATCCTCCGGAGAGCCCCTGGCTGAGAAACGCACCGGAGGAAGGGGCCAACTACAAGAAGCCTCGGAATTCCTTTTCCAAACCTTGCGGTTCCCAGCCCAACAGCCCTACTTTGGAAGATCTAGCCAAAACCAACGCGACAGCAATCCGTCTCTGCAGCTCCGTGGTCATAGAAGACCCTCAAAAGCAGACCTCAGTGTGCGTGAATGTCCAGAGGTGCACCAAGGAGGGGGTGGGAGAGGAGGCCCTTTCCCCTCGACGGAAATCGCCAACTGCCCCCAGCCCACAGGTCTTCTCCGAAACCAAGAAAAGTAGGCCAGATGTACTACCCTTCCGGCGACAAGATTCCGCAGGACCCATCCTGGACGGAGCTCGGTCCCGGAGGTCATCTTCGTCATCCACGACTCCCACCTCAGCCACTTCCTTGTACAGATTTTTACTTGATGATCAGGAATGTGCCATCCATGCGGACAACGTCAACCGCCATGAAAACCGAAGGTATATCCCCTTCTTGCCAGGAACTGGCCGGGATATCGACACCTGCTCTATTCCTGGTGTGGACCAGTTAATTGAAAAATTTGACCAAAAGCCCGGGCATCAGAGAAGAGGAAGGTCTGGGAAGAGAAACAGGATCAATCCGGAGGACAGGAAAAGATCCCGAAGCGTAGATAGCGCATTTCCGTTTGGTCTCCAGGGAAATACAGAATACCTCACCGAGTTCAGCAGGAACCTGGGCAAGTCTAGCGAACACCTCCTCCGGCCATCCCAGGTCTTCCCGCAGAGGTCGCAGGCCCCGGAGCAGCGTGGGAAACACAGCCCAAGCTGCACCCTTGCAAAACTGCAGGGTGCCACCCAGGGTGCCCACACCAAGGCTCCCCTGCAGAACAAAGATGGGAAAGTTCTGAACAAAGGAAGCCAGGAAAGCTCCCTTCCAGCGCAGAATAAAAAAGAGGAAGAAATCAAAATAGCCACCGCCACGTTGATGTTACAGAACCGGGCTGTGGCTGCCACACCGGATTCCGGTGCCAAGAAAATTTCCGTGAAGACATTTCCTTCCAACTCTAATACGCAGGTAACACTTGTGTTCTTCCCTTTCAAAGTGGCCCGAGCAACGCACCCTAGGAATGAGTGTCCTAGGTCTTGAATCTGTAAGGGCACGTTTGGTGATTTGGTGTGTGAAAGTGCATGTTTGCATATAGGTGCACACAGGTGCCCAGCTGCATTTGTGTGTGGGGGCCATGGGCTGCCATCCAGTGGCTTCCTCCGTTGCTCTCTACCTTACTTTTTGAGATGGGGTCTCTCCCTGGACCCCGAGCTCACTGAAGGAGCCACACTGTCTACATGCTCCTTGTCTCCACCTCCCCAGTGCTGGGATGATGGGCGTGTGCAGGGCCTCACTTTTTCATGGGTTCTGGACTCGTGCTCCCAGCTCCTGCAAACGTCCCTGTCAAATAGTACGTGACAGAGAGTCTCCATTTCTCTTCGCGGGTGTGAAGTCTGCACGCCTACAGAACGAGTGTCAACCCACAGATTCGGAGGTTAGGTTTGCATCCATATACTTTTATTCCTGAAATTGGGTTATGGCTAGGTTGGTTTCTGGTCTGAGCAATTGGGTTAACCTTCATTTAGGTTAATTGCAAAGTGATAGGGTCTAAGTGGCACATGGAGTGTTTTGATGGTCACAGTTAAAAGCAATCATAACAGTCATAAAAACAGTGATAAGGCTGGTAAGTTCCCGGTGTTATGCTGTGATTGCTTTGCACCAGCTGTGTGAAGCCTTGCTATTAATCTTCATGTTCTGAGAAAGCACAGGGGGATGAGAAGTCACTTGCCCAAGGGTCCAAAACTTATAGGTGTCAGGATGATGAGGCTGGCCAGACAAATTGGTTTTGGAAAGGAGTGTGCTAGAAGCCACTCCTTCAAGGTTGTTGCCATCTTCCTGGGAGTGTTACCCTCTTGGTCTAATAATATACTTCATTATGTTCCAGGCCACGCCAGATCTCTTAAAGGGCCAGCAGGAGCTCACGCAGCAAACCAACGAGGAGACGGCCAAGCAGATCCTTTACAATTACCTCAAAGAAGGGTGCGTGGTCCTTACGGAACAAAGTCTTTGCCATTCCTGGTGGGGCTCTTGACTTGTATCTGAGGCTTTGTACTTAACTGTTCTTTCCTGTTCTACCTGAGCCAGCCGAGGGTTCGTCTCTGGATGCAGTTGCCAACTAGGTACAGGGGGTAGGGAAGGACAAGACGTTCTTTGTAAGTCAGTTAAAAACACAGAGCTTATATTTGTGTATGCGCGTGTCCAGGAGAAATACATGTCTGTGCACATGTGTGTACAGGTGTACTTGACATCCATGCTCATGTGGGGGTCAGAGGTCAAAGCCAGGTATCCTTCTCTATCACCCTCCACCTTCTTCACTGAACAGGAGCTCCCACTTCTCAGCTAGCCTGGCTCGTCAGCAAGCCCCTGGTCTGCCTGTCTCTGTCTCCATACCCTGGGGCTATGGATGTGTGCCACTGTGCCCAGCTTTTGTGTGTTCTGGGATCCACACTCAGCCTTTCACTCACTGCATCTCTCCCCTGCCTTTAAATCAATGTTTTTAAAAAGACCATTACTGCATCAGAACAAGGTCAGGGATGGGGAGGTCTTCCGGTCAGTGTTGAGCTGGGGCCGCCCCACCTTGAGGCCTTCCCTGCCACAGCAGTCTCCATCATCCCTTATTGGAAGAAGCTCCTCCTCTCTCTGAGAGAGAGGCCTGGCCCAAGCCCAGGCTTCCACGATGGTCAAGCATGCCGGAGGCACCTGAGAGCCACGTTTGCCCTGCCCATCTTGGAAACTCAGTTCCAACCACTTGGGTTCTTTGCCTCCGTGCCAGCCATGCGGCAATTCTGGCGCAAGAATCTGAAGTTTCTGTCCCAGCCTCTTATGGAATGGTTAGAAGAAAGCAGAGGCGTCCAAGTTAGACGTGAATGAAAGTCAGCCACCTGAGACATGCAGCTGTCAACACTGGGTGTCGGGGTGCTGTGACTTATGATTGACTTGTCAGCCCTACAGAGCTGGCAAAGGGGGTTCAAAATACAACACAGGGCCTTAAAAGTCACCCCAGAGTTTTTAATACTGCCTGTGAAGGGCTTCACCCTGTAAAATTAAGGTAGAAGATTGTGGTTTTTAAAATTCTTTCTCTTCCTTCCTCTCCCTGCTTCCCATCTCCTTTTCCTCTCCTTCCCTTTCTCTGAGCTCTCTCTCTTTCTCTCCCTCTGCTCCCACCTTCCCCCTTTCTTTCCTTTCTTTCTCACTTGACTTGTTGAGAGACAGGTAAGACCGAAGTTAATAGTAGGTGCCTGTTTGAGGAATTTTATTTTAAATCCCTTAATTGCCAGGGGTGTGGTAAGATGATCTGTTTAGCCGTGGAAGCAGACACAAAGGGTTGCTGTTGGACGGTCTTGGCACCGGGGCTTCTTTTTCTTAAACAGAGGCCATAAGTTAAAAATCCTCCAACATCTTTCTAGCTTGAGACTTAAAAGCATGAGTGGGTGTGTTTAATTCCCTTTGGGACAAATATGAGCATTGAGTCAAGGAACAGCTTACTGTATTTTCACCCTGCTTGATTCAGATCGTGTGTCTGCCATGCTCAGATATTTGGGAATGGACATCTCTCTCCGAAACTGAGTGGTGCTGTCCTTCCATCCTGCCCATCAAACCCTGGTTTTTCTGTAGCCTTAAGTCCCTCAGACCGCTCGCAGTTTCTCTCCAAGGGTTTTCGCTGTGAGCGTAAGGATGTTCAGGACATCTTGAGGCTGATGGCTTCATCCCTGAATGTTTTCTCTGCTGGTGTTTTCCAGAAGCACAGACAATGAGGATGCCACCAAAAGGAAAGTCAACCTGGTCTTTGAGAAAATCCAGACTTTAAAGTCTCGAGCAGCAGGGAGTGCACAAGGAAATAACCAAGTAAGTTGTAGTTTTGTGTCCTGTAGAGCGTATTTACTGAGAACCATGGGGAGGGACCGGTTTCTTTAGCTGCTGTTGACAGCAGAAAGTGGGATGTCTCCTCAAGGAGCAAGCAGTGCCTCAGAAGGACAGTCTGGCAGTAAACACAGGTTAAACATCCTAATCCCAAATACCCTAAAACCCCAAACTTCTTTAGTGTTGACACGGTTCGCGTGGAAAATTCAATTCCTGACCACACGCAGGGACACGAACACAAACTTCTTTTCATGAGAAAGTTGTTAAAAATCATTGTATCAGATCACCTCTGGGCTCTGTGTACTAGAAATTTATGCCATTTAAATGAATTTTGCATTTCTAATTGTGTTGATAAAATATCTCCTTATATCCATGCAGATATTCCAATCCCAAAATAATAACCCTAAATCTGAAATACTTCTAGAGCCAACCATCTTGGAGAAGGCATGACCTGCTTAAGAAACACAGAGAACATTAGGAGTCGGCTGAATGATCAGCTAGACGAGCTCTAGCACTCAGCATGCCTGTGACTGTGCTGTGAGTGTGCAGGCTGTGGCAGAGTGTGTGTGCAAGTGTGCACATGTGTGCAAGCACTCAACCTGCCCGTGACTGTGCTGTGCAGGCTGTGGTGGAGGATGTGTGTGTGCAAGTGTGCACATGTGTGCAAGCACTCAACCTGCCTGTGACTGTGCTGTGAGTGTGCAGGTTGTGGCAGCGGGTGTGTGTGCAAGTGTGCACATGTGTTCAAGCACTCAACATGCCTGTGACTGTGCTATGAGTGTGCAGGCTGTGGCAGAGAGTGTGTATGTAAGTGTGCACATGTGTGTAAGCACTCAACATGCCCATGACTGTGCTGTGAGTGAGGGTTGTAGTGGACAGTGTGTGTGTATGCGTGTTTGCGTGCGTGTGTGTACGTGTGCACGTGTGTGTGTGTGTGTGTATGAGTAATACAGGACGGTGATTCTGACTTGGGAACTTAAAACTACAATTTGCTATACACAGCTCTCAGGAGCTGTACCTAATTCTTCTTTCCATTAAAAAATTTTGTTGGCAATTTAATATACACACACATATATAATGAATTTTAGTTGTTTTTCACACCCAGTCCTCCTCTCTGATAGTTCTTGTTTGGAGACAGGGTCTCACCATGTAGACCAGGCTGACTGCAAACTCACAGATCTGTCTGCCTGTGCCTCTTGAGTGTACCGGTATTGAATCTCTCTTATTTCTTAACATTAATATTTTTTGATAAAGCTTTAAATTTAAATCACAACTACTCCTCTTGCATTTTATTTACTTGCATGCTCTGGGGAGAACACAGCCTTTGGACTTGATATTAAGATTGTCATTATGGATTACGGGCTTGGAGCAGTCAGCCGGAACTGAGGAAGGCAGCAAAGGCAGCATGTCCCTTCTGCAAATAAGATGTCCAAAGTCAAAGCGTCCTTTGTGAAGGAGGCAGGGAGGCGGGGAAGTCTAGGTTGGAAGAATGGCACAGGCAATATTAAGAATTGTGACTTTGCTGTGTTTATGTTTCTTGAAGTAATTTTATGTAGTTGCTACCCAAACCAGGATGTGGGGAAAGCTAGACAGGACGTTCCTTTCTAGGCTACCAGAAAAGATGTTTTTATTTTCTTTTAAGACAGGATCTCATGTAGCTAAAGCTGGCCTTGAACTCGTAATTCTCTTGCCTCCAGCTCATGGGTGCTAGGATTACAGGTGTGCACTACCACAGCCATTTGTGTGGAACCCAGGGCGTCATGCGTGCCTGGCAAGTGCTCTCCGACAGACACAAATGCTGTTGTATTGCAAAAGCTCATTCCTTTTGCTGCTTTCAGAGAGAGGTAAGATTAGAGAGCGATCAGTTAAGAAGCCCTGCTGGTTCGAGGAAGACAGGCTGAGATCTCTGGCACACACACACAGTGTCCCCCTCTCTTCTTCTTATGTTCTGAATCTGATCCTTTGCTGGCAAAATTTTGGAGTTTTAATCTTTGGGGAGTATGCTGAGTGATTCCCTAGGGGAGAATGTTAGAGTGTTTTCGTTATGGACCGAGACCATCTTGGGAACTGCAAAGCAGATAGAGTTTTGTTTTTGTTTTCCTTTTGTTTCTCCTCCCTGTTTTTCTCTCCTGTTGCCTCTTTCCCTTCCTTCCTCTTTCCCTCTTTTGTATGTGATCTGTCCCGCTGGGTTAGACTTAGGCTCAGAGAGGGACTGCCTTCATTCCACTGGAAAACCTGGCACTCCTGTGCTTTCACTGTGGTGCTCTTGTCCCGTCCCACCGTCCCTGAGAAGTATCTGCCTCTTCTAGGTTTACGACACACAGCCCACACCTGGACCAGCCACTTGCGAGTCTTGACGCTGCCTCTTATAGCTTAGATTTCTGCTTTTATCGCTTGGCCTCACCACTTAGCTGTAGGACTTTAGCCAAGTCCTCTTGAGAGCTTCATCCTGTTATCACTTCCACAGTAGAAAAGAAACAAGAGCCCTTGATAGTCGCACTCCGATCAGACGCCATACCTCCTAACGGACTGTTTAATCTGGCCCCTCTTCTCGCTGGGAACACAACCACTGAAAGGAGAAAAGCCCCTTTGACCCAAATGTATTTATTTGCACTTGCTGACAGGCCAAGGCTGAGGGTGGGACAGGAAAGCCTGCTTGACAATTGGGAGCAATTGGGACAATTGGGGGAGGGAGGTTAGGATACGGAAGGACTGGCTGCTCAGACACACTGGTTCCTAAAGAACGTCACACAACAGGTGTTTCATCAACAAATACTTTTTTTCTTTTGTTTTTTCGAGACAGGGTTTCTCTGTGGTTTTGGAGCCTGTCCTGGAACTAGCTCTTGTAGACCAGGCTGGTCTCGAACTCACAGAGAACAAATAATTTTATACTGGTTTATTGGGGTCGAACTGAAAGTAAATCTTGGGAATCATAGCTGTGTAGTTCTCTGTATTTTCATCACAGATTTGCGTCTGTGCAAATCCTACTCAGGTCACAGACAGGGTGCTCCTTTCACCCAGAAGTTTCCTGAATGTTCTTTCCCTGTCAGTCACGTCCCTTCTTTCTTGAGGTAATCGTATGGTGACACCTATCACCTCGGTTAGTTTTCCTTAAATTTCATATAAAGACTCACCTGATTGCTGTCTCTCCAGCGTTATGTCTTCAACATTGTGTCAGTGAAGCTCATTAATATTATACTGATCAGTAACTACTTTTTATTACATATTGATCTGTGTGTGTGTGTGTGTGTGTGTGTGTGTGTGTACTAGTGTATTTCTGGTGACATTTTCAGCTTGGGACTCTTTTTTTATATTTATTTATTTATTATGTATTCTGTCTGTGTGTATGACTGCAGGTCAGAAGAGGGCACCAGACCTCATTACAGATAGTTGTGAGCCACCATGTGGTTGCTGGGAATTGAACTCAGGACCTTTGGAAGAGCAGGCAATGCTCTTAACCTCTGAGCCATCTCTCCAGCCCTCAGCTTGGGACTCTTAACGGAAAGCTACAGTAGACATTAAACATTATTGTTCACTTACTTTTTTTTTTTAATGGACACACACTCATTTCTTTGGCATATAAGCAGGTGTGAGCTTCCAGGTCCTACATCAGGCAGAAGTTTTACTGTGCGTACTGACACTGGCTTCAGGAAGTGGTGGAACCATTAACTCTCCTACCAGTGGTGCACACAAGACCCAGACACTAGGACCCTCCATTCTGCCGTCTGAATTCTGTGTCTCTTCTGCTGTATCAGTTCCAGACAGATCTATACTATATCTTTAGGCTCTGAAATCTGGTAATGTCTGCCTTCTGACTTTGTCCCTTAAATCCTATAGGTTAAAAGTGGGCTCTTGTAGAGGACCTGAGCTTCGTGCTTAGCATCCATATCATGTAGTTCACACTGTAATTCTAGCTCCAAGAGATTAGACATCTGTGGTCTCTGTATGCCCCTGCACATACTTGCACACATGTGCATCATACACATCATCATCATCATCATCATCATCATCATCATCATCATCATCATCATCATCATAATAATTCTTTTAAGAAAAGCAAGGGGAGGGGAAAGAAAAACAAGGACTTTTGTCTGGGGCTGACACTGATCATGCCTGTCACTTTGTTCAGGTTGACATCTCATGTGTCTGATCTTCTCCCCATTTATTTGCGCCCTCCATGTCCATCTCATGTCTTTCATTTTGGTCTGTTCACCCTCCGGTCACATCCGCTCCTTCTGGGCTTCCTGTTGAGGGCCGTGTTCTTCCGTCCAGGGAACTCTTCTGTTCTGCGTGTGGTCTTTTCTGCTGGTGTTGGACTCTCTCAGCGTTTGCTCAATTTGCCCTTTGTCCACTCTTGTGTTTGAGGCTCTTTAGTTCAGGGAGCATTGTTGAATCTGATCAAGTTAGGGGCACATTTGTCTTCTGGCCCCCACGGCTCCCCTGGAAGGCGGGCAGATTCTTAGTATTGTTCTTCCGGAGGCGATACATCTTTGCCCTGCAGCTGCTTTGAATATTTGGTCTTCCGTTTTGGGAAGTTTGAGTGTGATGTGCCCGAATGTGGTTTTCTTGTGTTTAACCTGAGTCCTTGACTTCATAGTCTTCTGGCACTCATCAGCTCCGAAACGCCCTGGCCATTTGTTTTGAATATTTCCTTTACATTCTGTTCTCCTTACATTCCAGTTTTATGTATTGTACTTTTGTTTTGTTTTGTTTTCTGAGACAGAGTTTCTCTGTGTTGCTTTGGAGCCTATCCTGGAACTAGCTCTTGTAGACCAGGCTGTCCTCAAACTCATGAAGATTCACCTGTCTCTGCCTCCCAAGTGCTGGGATTAAAGGTGTGTGCCACCACTGCCTGGCTGTATTTTACTTTTTTTTTTTTTTTAATGATCTTCCTTATTCTCTGTGTATCTGCATGTGTGTCTATATGAGTGTTTGTGTGTGTGTGTGTGTCTGTTTCTCTCGTTTCATTTGGCATATCATATACTCTGGATTCTGTCTGTCTGTCTGTCTGTCTGTATGTCTCTCTCATCTTTCTATAACAGCTCTGGCTGTCCTGGAACTCATTTTGTAGACCCGGCTGGCCTTGAACTCAAGAGACTGGCCTGCCTCCGCCTTAGGACTGCTGGGATTGAAGGTGTGCACTTTTCTCTTAATGTTTAAAATTCATTTATTTTGTTTGTTAGCTCTATCTTTTTTTTTAAGATTAAAGGTTTAATTTTTTAGAATGTCCCCCAAACACCCCCCTTGTTCTTTGAGAATATTCCTTTTCTTCTCATGCATGCATTTGTGGTGTGCGCGCGCACATGGGCGTATGTGTGTGGAGGCCTGAAGCTGATGGAGAGAGTCTTTCCGCAGTCCTCTTCAACCACAATCTAAGGAGCAGGGTCTCTCATCAAACCCAGAACGCACTGATACGGCACCTGTGCGGGTTCTGGGGATCACAGGTGAGCCCCCACACTGACCCGGCACCTGTGTGGGTTCTGGGGATCACAGGTGAGCCCCCACACTGACCCGGCCACCTGTGCAGGTTCTGGGAATCTAAGCTTGCCCACACAACGAGCATTAACTGTTGAGCCAAGTCCCCAGCCCCTAGGGAACCAGTCTTTTAAGAGGCACCTAATGAGTTCTTCAGCTTCAAGCATTGTGCTGACAACTCTGATGCCCATTTGACCGTGTTTCTAGACTCTGCCTTTGGGAAACCATCATTTTTTTTAAATCCATTTTGTTCATAGTTTTCTATATTTTAAAATTTCATAGCTCTTTTGACCCCTTCTCATCTAACTTCTCTGCCCGGGTCATTTCACTCCTGCTGTGTCTTCTCTCTCTATGATTAGTCAGGTTTTTCTCTGCTGCTTTAGACACCCAGGATTTTCTAACTGAATGCTGGGTAGTGGATGACAACTTGCCTTTGTAGCAGATTGTCGTACCTTCTACCGAAGGGTGGAGTTTTCTCCTGAGAGCTAAGTCAACGGTGGGTCACCATCATGCTGTTGTTCTAGGCTTTGCCAAGGTGGGTTTCATTAGGGTTTTACCTTCATTCCCATGGCGTGACTATGCTCCCTTCTCAGATCTCAGATGAACGTGAGGATGTCACTTATTCTGAGTTAGGACTCCTGCATCCCCCCAGGTCAGCACAACTTGTGGCGTTTGGTTGGCTTCCTTGCCTCTTAGACACTAGGTTTCTGGTGAACTTTTGGAATCTTGTTTTGCTTATAATACAGCGTAAGAATCATCTCAGAAACCAAAAGGGTGTTTTGTCTTGTTTTGTTTTGTCATCGTTTCTTAAAGTAGCTTTTCCTGTGGGTTCTTACCTCCTTATACCCTTATCCCAAGACTGGCCTTTTGCTTATGATATCTAATTCCCCAGGTGCTTCTTGGTTCAACATGAGTTGCTTTTCTCCTTCATTGGGCTCTTTTCCCTCTTGAATTAAAGTAATAAATTATTCTTATTGGTTGGTTTTGTTTTGTGGTGATTGATTGATTGAGCACTGGGCCTCACGTGTACTAGGCAATTTTACGTAGTACTGAGTTACAGCCCACGCCTGATAAACTGGATGTATTTAGAGCTATTTATTCTAAGCTCAGAGCAGAACTGAGTAGAAAGGATAGGGATTTCCCTTATCCTACCATGATCCTCTGGTACATTTGTTAGCGAGGGTAGCATCTCAGTCCCACGGGTCACTCTGGGATTTGCTCTTGGTAGTGAGCCTTGTATTGGCAGGGTTGGGGGTGGGTGGGGTAGGGGACGAGAGGGATATCTATGTGTGTGTGTGTTTGTGTTTGTGTGTGCTTATTCATGTGTGTGCTCATGCATGATGCGTGTGGAAGCCAGGGTTCTAGATTGGATGCTTTCTTCAGTTGCTCTCCACCTAACTATCCCCTGCCCCCCCCCCCAAATTCCATTACTGGGAGGGCAGAGAAAGGAAGGTCCCAAGGCTCACTGGCCAGCCACCCGCCCTATCTAGCCAGCCCCAGGCCAGTGAGCTTTTATCTTTTTTTTTAAGGTGCCTCAGAAACAACAGCCGAGGGTATCCTTGGTTTTCCGCACGCACACCCAAACAGGCAGACACTTGTTCTAGCTTTAGTATCTTATTATTTCATAATATGTTTGAAAGGTATCCAGTAAATCTACCACCTTCCTCAAGAGTGAGTCACTGTGGGAATCTGGTGAAGTAGTCCCCGAACCACAGTGAAAAATGTAAAATAAATGGTGAAGGAGCGGCACCGTTAACTCGGGGAGAGGGATGGTTTCGCGTGACTGGGTCTTACACCATCAGGGCTGTGTCGCATCCCTTACATCCCCGTGTTACTGTGGGGGAGGAGAATTCAAAGCATCTCAAGCATTTAACTGAGGATATCTTTGTAATTAATTGCAGGCTTCGAATTTTTCCTCCGATATCAAAGACCTATTGGAGCAGAAGAACAAATTGACCTTAGAAGTGTCTGAACTACAGAGGCAGCTGCAGCTAGAGACCAAGGTATCAGGCTCTCATATTTTTCCCGTTTCTGTCCTGGATGATAAAGGATTTTTAGAACACATTAGGATGTCCAGGTGAGGTAAAAGTCCAAAAAAAATTTCCTCCCTAAAAGAAACATTCCTGTCATCCCCGAGCACATTCCTCTGAATTTGGTGGCTGCTGGCCAAAGAATTTTTTAAAGCAACTGGAGCACATAGAAATGGTTTGCTTTGAGCAAGAGAAATACTGTTAGAGACAGGCAGACTCATGGGGAACTTATTGCCACTACATGCAGCATTTAGACTGAAGTAATAGAAACAGCAACATGAGGTCTAGCTGTGTTTGTGTTTGTCTTTTAAAAGTGTTCAATTCACTAAATACCAATATTTCATATTCTTTCTGGAACTTTTGAACCTTAATTACATGGTTTGATTAAGTCATTTAATAACGAAGGAACGGTACATGGAATTCACTAGTGTTCACAAGTGGTCTTCCGGGCTGGGGCTGTAGCTCATCTGGAAAAGTGCTTGTTCGGTACACATAGAACCTGGGGTTCCAGCCCCAGCACCTCATAACCCAGGCAAGGTCGTGCACCCCTGTTGAGTGCTCGGGAGGTGAAGGCAAGAAGACCAGGAGTTCCAGACCCTCTTCGGCTTCATAGCCAGTTTGCTGTTAGCCTGGGCAACACGGTAGGGGAGGGGCTTCCGTACTGAGCGACAACACAGGTGTCTTAGAATCGTACTGATTCCCATTAGAACCATCAGAACACCAAGGAGGAGAGAGAGAGGATGAGAGAGGACTTAGAAGAGCTGCAAGGCCGGCACCAGAGCCAAGTGGAGGAGATGGCCGCCCTGCAGCGCCGGCTGGAGGACAGTGAAGGCGAGCTGCGGAGGAACTTGGAGGAGTGAGTGCCTGGCTGGAGCCCCTGCCCTGCCTGAATTCCTGAGTCATAGGTGGCTAGAACCCTCTGTCCTTTTCATACCTCCTAGCCCTCCAAGTGTTTATCAAGGCCACTCACCTTTCTTTTCTCCCCACTTCTTACAAAATTGTGCAGCCGGAGCTATAGCAGGGAGGTTAATAATTATTTAAATCCGTTGTGTACCCTGAGTGTGCCTTGTAAAACTTCAGCCCCAACAGGGATCTTCTGGCAGGCAAGTGTGAGGCGGGGGCCCTGAGGGTGATGTGTAATGACTAAGGTGGGAATCTTGAGCCTGACAGCTAAGACTATGGTTTGGATAAGCCTGGGTCTGGTCTCCAAAGTACGTTAGCCTGTGGGGTCCACAGTCTCCCAGCCTGATTGCTTTCTCCAGAATGGGTTGATCTCTGTGGTGGATACTTAGACTTCTGCTCAGCCCATAGACAAGAAGAGTAACTCCAAGGCTTCCCCTGATGCTTTAGCCTGTGAAACTTAGTGGCAAAGGAATCTAAAATCAAGGTCTGGTTTCCTTTCTGGAAACAGCTTTGCAAATTTACCCAGCGATGGATTTTGCTAGGTGCATCTCAGTTTAATCAAACTAACAATCAGGATTGACTGCAGACATTAACTTGATGGTTCTCCTATTTTATAGTTTTGGTTTTCTTTGGTTTTAGACATTGCCTTATGTTTTATGTCCAAATTCTAGTACTTTGTGATCTCTTTCTGGTAGAGAACGTCCCTACAAATCTGTCCCATTTTGTTGGTTTGAGTTCTCATCTAATATCTTGACCAAATTAGACCATAGTCCTGAGGGGGCTTCTTAGGGCTGCAGATGGCCATGTGACTGCCCGAAAGTGAGGACTGAGGATCCCAGGGGCCTCTCTGATGGACCACCACCCCCTGTCCCCCGTTAGGCTGTTCCAGGTAAAGATGGAGCGGGAACAGCACCAGACAGAGATCCGAGACCTGCAGGACCAACTGTCAGAAATGCATGACGAACTGGACAGTACCAAACGGTCCGAGGACAGGGAGAAGGGAGCCTTGATCGAGGTAAGGGGCTGGAGGTCAGCTGTCACCTGCCTGGGAGGATGGGCTTCAGGGGTGGATGCTAGACAGCCGCTTTCTGTTGTGTGTGTTTGTTCCACCGGTTTCTGCACTTAGGTTCTGTGAGGCCATCATTGTCTTGATCATTGTGAACAATAGGAAGATAGGGCCCAGGGATATGGGGAACTGAGGTTAATCCCCAGAACCCATCTACAAAAATAAATAGCTGGACTCGTAACCCTAGTGTGGGAGGAGAGATGGATAGGTCTCAGGGTGTGCTGGCCATTCAGTGAGCCCCTAGCCCAGAGATCCTGTGTCAAAAAACAAGGTAGGTGGGATCTGAGGAACGACATCAGAGGTGACGTCTGCCCTGTACCCCTGACTCACTTATACACACTCACATATATATAAACACACACTCTCACATACCCACAGATGCTCTCACACACACATGCTCATACTCATACACTCACACTCATAAACTCACACTCTTACACACTCACAGATGCTCTCATAGACACATACATGCTCACACTTCTGTACTCACACACGGAGAATAGTATATTAGCATTTATCAGTTCTCAACACAGATCAAGGAGTTCTCAGTGTTTTCTCATATTCCTACATTAATTTTTCTGCTCATCTATTCATTTTTTATGTGTCTGAACTATTTTGAAGTAAATTACAGGTAGGATTATGTTTTACTCTTTTTTTTTTTTTTGAGGGAACTTTCTGAATAGTTACAATACCATTGTAGTAACTAACACGTTTATGGTTTCTATGATATACATGCGATGAGTCTGAATACACAACTCTTATTATCTCTGAGTCTACGTACAATTAATCTAGGGAGTTCAAGGCCAGCCTGGGTGACATGAACCTCTCCCTAAAACAAAATTTTCCCTAAGGATAAATTCCCAGAAATGATGTCAGTGGAGAACTTAGGCTTTCAGAGGACAGAGATGTTTCTGTAGTCTGCGTGGCCATGCCCTGGGATCTGTAGTCTGCGTGGCCATGCCCTGGGTTGTGTAGTCTGCGCTGCTGTGCCCTGGACTATATTCATCCTCTGCTCTCTCCGTTCACCCCACCCTGCGCTAGTATTGCACATTTTCCTTTAACACAGTCAAGTGCAGTCTGTCATCTTTGCTGCTTCCCCCATTTCAAGTGCAGCATACTTCTGAATGACAGAGTAAGTTACCATATTTTTCTAAAATGAAGTAATTCTAAGATGAACTGCATGCTATTTTATTTTGTTTTACTTTATTATTTTATTTTTTGAGGTAGGGCCTCATGTAGCTGAGACTTGACTCAGACTTGCTATGTAGCTGAGAATGACCTTGTGCTTCTGATCCTCCTGTTTCCACCTCCCAAGTGCAGGGCTTGCTGGTGGGTCCCTCCATTCCCAGTTTACGCTGTGCAGAGGATTAAGCCCTGGGCTTCATAAATGATCTCTACCAACTGAGCCTCACCCCGACCCCCATCCTTAACTCCTGAACCTGACGTGGTGATAGCTTTGCGGGTTTGTGTGCATTGGTGGGGATGAGCACGTGGACTCTGGCTCTGGTGTGTGTTCAGGCCACAGCTGCAATGGGAGCAGAGCACACCTCTTCTTAAACATGCTGCAGTTGGGGTCCTTGTGCGTCACTCTCCTGACATACCGTGTAATCTGCAGAAGGAGGAGGTGGAGCGGGGATGTTAGCAATTATGTCAATGATGTGCTTTGCCCCGGGAAGTCCCTCACTGCGTTCCTTTGTCTTTCCAGCAACGTTTCACAATACCATCTACACTTTGCACAGCAGTAAAAGGAAGATCCCGGCTCCTAGTCACTTTCAAGTCATTCTTTGCATCTTAATAAGAAGTAGCCGGGAGAAATTCGATAACACTTTAGAGCTGGGGCCAAGTTTTCCGTGGCTTTTGCCTGAGAACTGACTCTTAAAACACAGCGGACATTGAATCTATAAGCTTTTGAGTGTTTGAAAATGGTTGACGCCCGGATGCTCTGTGAGCCCGTGTATCTATCAGTTCAGATTTATCATAAACCTCTCTTCTTACCAAGGTGCTGGAAACTGAAGCTGAGGCCCTGTGCCTGCCAGGGACAGACATGCTCTGGCCCTGGCTCCATCCCAACCCAGAGATACATGGAATCTGCAAAATAACATGTGTGGGGGTGGGGGAGCCAGACATAGAGGCAGGTGGATCTTTGTGAGTGAGAGGGTAGCCTGGTCTACATAGGGAGTCCCAGAGTGGCCAGAGCTATATACTGAGACTGTGTTTAAGAAGATAGTTTAAAGGAAAGCATACTAGAGAATATTTGTTTGCTTAGGCTGAGAATTGATGAACAATAAGAAAGATTTATTATTTGTTGAATTCTTGGATCTATAAACTTTTTTTTTCTTTTTGGTAAAGTTAACTCTTTCTTTTGTAGTTCAGACTCAAACTCTCTAACTCACTAGGTAGCCAAGGGTGGCCTTGAAGTTTTGATTCTCCTGACTTCTTTACCTCCTACATGCTGGGATTGTAGATGTGCACTGTCTACCTTGCCCATTTTTTTTGTTTGTTTGTTTGCTTTTTGTGAGGCTGAGGATAGAACTACATCCCTAGGATCTGAGAACTACAAATTTTTTTAAATTAAAAAACTTAAAAATGTTTTTTTAGTGTGTGTGTGATTGTGTGTATATATATATGTATAACATGTGGGTTCTAGAGGAAAACCTTAATTGTTTCTCAAATGTCAGCCCTACCTTGATATCTGAGATAAACCTAGAACTTGCGAAGTGTGCTAGCAAGGTGTCTGGCCAGGGATCCCCAGGAATACGTGTCACTGAGCCTGACCTTTTTTTTTTTTTTTTTTTTTTAATCACCTGTCTTCTGGGAATTGATCTAGGGTCCTGGTGGTAGCAAGGCAAGTGGTTTACGCATTGAGCCAGCTCCCCATACCCAGACGTGTGATGTTGGGGGTGTCAGCATCTCAGAACTCCAACTTCCTCATTTATGAATGGATCCTGGTCTCTCTGAGTAGTCATTTGTTGGATCTTTAGAAACAATATTCTCATGCAGAAACCGCCAAGCACAGTTAACCTTCTAGCTCTTCCCTCGCCTGTTCCCCATATGCACTAGAGTTTTTTGTTTTGTCTTACTTAAATGTTTTATTGCATTATTTGTTTATTTTGTGGACGTGGATATGAGGTACCCTTGTCATGCTGCAGGACATCAGAGGACAACTGTGGAAGTCAGTTCTCGGCTTCTACCACAGGGGTCCCGAGGACCAGATTCTGTTCTTAGGCCTGGGAACTGGCACCCATCCTACCTGCTGAGTCGGCCCCTGTCTCCCGGGCCCCACGCTAGCTGTGGATTGGCTGGTTCCTTGTCGCATGTGGCCTATCTTGACTGTGATTCTGTTTCTCCTTGTTTTCCCTGATGATAGTCTCCAGGGGAGCTTGTCCCTCCGCTGTAGGCTTGTTTGTAGTGTGAAGTTTTCCTACTTTCTCCCCTCTTCATTTGATACGATTAAACCTCCTATTGATGTGAAGTTGGAAACCCTATGTGCCTGTTGGTCTCCCTTCTGGACACTGCTGTGTGATGCGGCAAGGTGTAATCTGATTGGATTCAAGCAGCGTGGCCCACTTAAGCGACAGCCCGAGCCACAGATAACACCCTGACAGCGTGACAGCGTAGAATGGACTGAAAAATCCTCGATCCTTGACACACCTTGGCAGCAGCACAAACACAGACACATCCTACAGGAGATAAGGGTGGGGGAGAGGAACTGCCCTATCTAAAGACAACTGAAAACTGCGTGAGAATAAAAGCAGGAAGGGCTGCTCTGAAGTTGCTGGCAGCAGGCGCCAGCAAGTCCTAGAGAGGTCGCCAATGGCAACAAGGATGGGTGAGTTCTGCTCCTCTTCAGAAAGAGATGAGATGGGCAGGGACACCCAGGTGGTTAGGACAGGAATTCTTTGGCCTCAGGGATGGGTCTCCAGGCTTCATGGGAGCTCGTCGGTGCCTGCTGGGGGCGTTCTGGTTCTGGCGGGGCTAAAGTTTGGTCTGTGTGGGGATCTCCCACCTGTTTGCCTCATCTGCTCATCTTGGAGGAAAGGAAAGACTTCCCTTGTTGGTTGTTTTTAAACTCATTACTTTGTATGCTAAAAAATAATTTAGGGTCGATGATGTGGCTCAGTGAGTGGGTGAAGGCACTCGCTGGGTAGCCTGCTGGCCTGAGTTCTTGTAAAGATGGAAGGAGAGAACTGACTCCACAGAGTCTCATTGCCACAGCACCCCCGACACACACACACACACACACACACACACACACACACACACACACACACACACACACACACCATTAATTTAAAATAAGCGAGCTAAGGGTTTCTCTTCCCCCAGCAGTGACACACCTCTTGAATGGCAAGTAGCCTGTGCTCTCAGAGACCTCAGGGTCCAGCAGCAGCTATTGCTCTGAATCCCTAGGGGCTAAGGAGACCGGACTAGGGTGTGTTTGTACTCAGAAGGCCGGGAGAAGCGAGAGCTGGTAGAATCTTGACCTCTTGAGGTTCCGCCCTAAGGAACAGGGTGACTTATTCACTCCCAGAGTAGACGGTGCTACTAGTACGCTCTTCTCCTCCTCCTCTTCTCCTCCTCTTTCTCCTCCTCCTCCTTTCCTCCTCCTCCTTTTCTCCTCCTCCTCCTCCTCCTCCTCCTCCTCCTCCTCCTCCTCCTCCTCCACCTCCTCTTCTACTCCTCCTCTCCTCCTCCTCTTCTCCTCCTCCTCTTCTCCTCCTCTTCCTCCTCCTCTTCCTCCTTTTCTCCTCCCCCTCCTCCTCCTCCTCCTCCTCCTCCTTTTCCCTCCTTTCCCTCTTCTAAGTGGCTTTGGGTAGGGTATTAGCACAGCAACAGAAATGAAACTGGAAGAGGAGGACACCGCATGCTCTTGTCTTGGTACCAGAGAAGGGGAACCAGAGAAGCCACATAGCAGATGGCTATTGAGAGGTGTGAACCTGTGAACCAAGGTCATGCTTTGAAGACGTTTAGCCGAGATTCCAGGAAATGGGCCTGAACACACAGGGCAGCTGGCACTACTTCAGTGGAGGGCTTCGGGTGGAGGCAAAGCCTGGTGCACAGTGAGGATCCAAGGTGTGGGAGGTCCTGGCTACTGAGAGATCCAGGACAAAAGAAGTCCTGTGGCAGGACTTGCTCCTGTTCAGCCAGATGCCCTTGGGCTTGGGGAATGTGGCTTGAAATGGAACCTTTGGCCCCAGTTTTGTGACTCTTTGTGAGCTCTTGACAGTGCAGGAGGGCAAAATGTGAATGCCATGCTGTCCTCGGGCAAGAGAGAGAGGAACAAGGTTGTCCTGAGCGCCAGGAGCATGGAGAGAGTTGAACTGTGTGCAGAATCCTGAGGGCCGGGTAGCAGACAGCAGTAAGTCAGCTCAGCTGCAGAGCGCAGTAGTATGTAAGGTCTCTATATAGCAGGATGCTGGGCCGTGGCTCCGATGGGAAATGAGTTGCAAAAAACATGTCAGGCGGGGGGGTGCTCATTGGGTAGACTGTTTGCCTAGCATGTCTGAGGCCTCAGGTTCAAGCCCCAGAAGCACATCAACCAGTTGGTATTGGTGCATGGCTCTAATCCAGCACTTAAATGAAGGTTGATGCAGAAGGTCAGGGATGTCCTTAGCTTTGTAGCAAGTTTGGGGCTAGCCTAGGCTACGTGAGAACCTGTCAAGCAAAAGAAAAACCAAACAAGAAACGACTTTCTCCCAAAGCCATGACAGTGAGCCCAGTCACAATAAATCTTAAAGAAACTAAGTCAGGAAGCCCCAAGGGAATAAGGGCCTCTGAGAAGCACAAATTGTCTCAAAAGGTGTGTGGCATGGGAAGGAGAGAGTGGGCAGGACTAGGGAGTGGTAAACCTGATGGTCAGTCTTGAAGGGCAAATGCTGGGCCACTGGTTAAGATGTCTGTTCCTCACCTCTGCGGTTGTATTTCCCCTCTAGGAGCTCCTGCAGGCCAAACGGGACCTTCAGGATCTGCTCCTCGCCAAAGAGGAGCAGGAAGATCTCTTGAGAAAGCGGGAGCGCGAACTGACTGCCTTGAAGGGTGCCTTGAAGGAGGAGGTTTCCAGCCATGACCAGGAGATGGACAGGCTGAAGGAACAGTACGATGCCGAGCTGCAGGCCCTCAGGGAGAGCGTGGAGGAGGCAACCAAGGTGAGCTCGCCATCCATAGAGGGTGTCAAAATGTGACCAGATGAGAGGCTGTGCCCACTCTTCCATGCCAACTCCCCTTGGCTTCTTCTCTGACGATGGCGATGGGCTTTTTGACAAGGAATAGCTTGATGTTTTAGCTTCTGTTCTTTTTAGCCTGTAAGCTTGGACATCGGTAAAGATTGTTTTTTTTTGTTGTTGTTGTTGTTGTTGTTTGTTGTTTTTTTCGAGACAGGGTTTCTCTGTGGCTTTTGGAGCCTGTCCTGGAACTAGCTCTTGTAGACCAGGCTGGTCTCGAACTCACAGAGATCCGCCTGCCTCTGCCTCCCGAGTGCTGGGATTAAAGGTGTGCGCCACCAACGCCCGGCGACATTGGTAAAGATTTAAGTGCTTTTTGCAAGAAGTGAGATTTTTAAAGCCTTGAGTGGACTCAGTTTCTGCAGGCTTTGTGGAGTAGAGAGCTGGACCCTCCTGGGGGTATCCTCAAGGCTCAACACTTAAGGCACTGTGTGACTTTTCTCATGCACAGAATTGCAGACAAGACCTAGATTTCTGGAACCCTTTATCCCATCCCAGCTGCTCCCTTTGGGCTTCGTTCAGTCTTCCATTAGATAATTCATGTTCTTTTCTCAGCATAGCTGGAAAAGGGCTAATTGGCCAAATGGCCCCAACTCTTCCAAGATAAGTTTTCCTCTTAATTGAATTCTTGGCTCTTATAAATAGATTGTAAATTGTGTTGGAAGTGTTTGGGTGCAGGGTGCCCATTGGCTGATGAAGGGAAAATGCTTTGGAATACCATGCCATCTTTAGGGAAGAATTGCGGAGTGTTCATTTCCAGTGTCTCAAACGAAGGGTAAAAGTGCTGGAGAGGGGACTTTTCAACCGTTTAGTCTGCAATGGTGACAGTGGCAGTTCCCGCCCACCCCGCTAAGCCCTGAGGCGGTTCACTGATTTTCAATGATGTCACGATAATTGCTAAAGACAAGAAGAGAAAGATAAGTTTGTTTGTTGTTACAACAGGAAAGTCTGGGAAACTGTCTGTTGCAGGCCTTGGGGAGGGAAGGGGGCGTTATTATAACTTTGAGATACTTCAAGGGCCTCTTGTCTTGTTGATTTGCCCTGCCACCCCCATCCTTTAGATTTGACTTAAATTGAGGGGGACAGGTAGAACTGACTTAGTCATCCCTGAGTTAAGGGGAAATATCTGTATTTTGTGTGTCTTTCTATCCGGACAATAGCCCAGTATCCTGGCTGTTGACTATCGCATGCTGTTAGCTCAGCAGGTACAGATGGACATGGAGACACGGACACACAGACACGTGGACACGCTGTTTCTTTATCACCTTTAGAGCTTGCATCAGAGCACACCTTTAACGTGGCCTATGCTGGGAGGCTCCTGGAGGGTGCTTAGGGAGCAGTGTTTGGGCTTGTGTTCGTAGCTGTTTCACTAGAAGACGAACCACATGTGGAATAAAAACTTCTAGGTCTGCTGGCACAGAGTGTACGTGGGGAAGGGAACCGCGCGGGCGGAAGGATAGATCTCTGTGTGGAGCTGGGGATCACCACAGACACCTAGGCTGTTTATTGCACTGTGACTTTTCTGCTCACTGAATTTCTTTTTTTACACTAATATATAAATAACTAGGGGATGGAGATATGGCTCAGTGGTTTAGAACAATTATTGATCTTTTAGACGACCTGAGTTTGATTCCCAGCCCCCACATGGTGGCTCACAGTCATCCATTACTCCATTCCCGGGGAGTCCAGTGACCCCTTCTGACCTCCACAGGCATCAGGCATGCATTTGGTGCACATACATAAAGACAAAACATCCATACACATAAAATAAAACAAATATTTAGAAAAGATAACCAGGGGAGCTCATGTCAGTCTGTGAAATAAAGACAGGGTAAGTTGGTTGAGACTTGTCATCCACCAGAGAACGCAGGGAGCTGATCTAAAGGAGCATGCCTCCATACCTGCTGTGGGCTAGCCTGAGCTCCTTGCCCCAGACCATATTCTATATCACCACCAATATCTTTCCCCAGAAAGCAATAATTTCCAATTGGTCTTTGCTTAAATATTTGTCTGGCACTCCATTGTCCCAGACTTAAGCTCAGATTGTTTACGTGGTAGGTGGCGTGTCCCTTCTCAGGAAAACTGTCCTGTTACTTCAGAACAGCTGCCTGCCACTTCCAAGCCCTCCCTAGATTGTCTCACCTGTGAACTGTCCTTGCTGCCTCGGTGAATTTGTCCCCTTCCCGTTCTCCCACCCCAAAATATACACCTAGGGGTGAGTCACACCTTTGGGTTTCTACTGAACCCTGGCTTCCCATCATGCCCTGCTTTTGCCTGTCTCCTTATGCACAGGGCTGTTTTTATCTAGACCCTTTCTTTCTGTTGAGATGAGGAGCAGCAGACTCAAGTGCTTCTGAGGCCAAACAGGAAGCATCGATGAGTGGAACTCTGAGTCCCTTGATGGTGACAGGAAAGGCTGATGGGGGGTGTGGCAAGCTGGAGAGCGTGCCCTTTGCTCTAGTGGCCAAAGAAGGCTGGGTCCATGCTGTTAGATCTCCCAGCTTCTTAGTTTATTTTTACTTTTTGAGACTTTTATACCTGAGCGTATGCTATGGACATAATTTCTACTCCTCTTCCCCCCTCCAGCTTGTCCTGTGTCCCCCTGATCATCTCCTCCTGATTCCATGACCTCCTTTCCTGTAACTATTATTGTTACATGTGTACACATACACTCAGCATACTGAGTTCAGTTAGTGTTGCTCTATGTCCCTGTGACCACTTGGGACAGGGAAATCTGTTAGGAGGTTGTTTCTGGAAAAAGCTGATTCCCCCCCCCCCCCTAGTAGCTGTTAATGGTCTGTAGCTTTTCCTCCAGGAACGGGACCTTGTTAAACTGTCCCCTCCCACTGGTGCGGTCTGGTGCAGGTAACCTTACTGCTGAGAGTTTATGGGTGCAGCTTCCTCATCCAGTCAAGAAGGCACCATCTCACAGCCCTCAGCTTTCACAGTCTCTGTGTCCCCCACCCCCAAAATGTTCCCGAACCTTAGGAATCACGGTGTTGTTACAGATGTCCCGACTGGAGCTGGGACGCAGTGACTTATTCTCTGCCTTCTGACTAGTTATGGACCCCTGGGTAGCTTCTGCCTGCTGCACAAAGAAATTCCTTTGATGAGCGGTGGGAGCTGCCCTCATCCACGGGTAGAAAGACAGGTATTTATAATACGGGTGGAGGCTGTATTCATTTAGGAACCGGCAACAGTAGGTTCTCGTTCTCCCATTTTAACTTTTAAAGATGAGTTGGGGCTGGGCGGTGGTGGCTCACGCCTTTAATCCCAGCAGAGGCAGGCAGATCTTTGTGAGTTTGAGGCCAGCTTGATCTACAAGAGCTAGTTCCAGAACAGGCTCCAAAGCTACATAGAGAAACCTGTCTCAAAAAAACAAAAACAAAAAACGAAAAGAATAAAAAAAGAAAACAAGGATGAGTTGGATATTTGCATGTTGATGTAAGATGTTCAGACTTTTAAGGGTTGGTTAAAAGCAACAATACCTCCATCCATCCCCTGCCCCCCCCAAAATCCCCACCTCCAATACCAAAGGGGATACAACCCAAGCATAACCCATCTACAGGTCTTCAGGTCAATGGTACGTGGTTCTAGTCCCTGAATTCAGCGTGGTGCCCAAAAGTGACGGTGAAGACAGCTGTAGTGTCTTTAGAGTCAGAGATGGCAGAGGGCGAACTCCCTCCAGCTTGGATCATGTCCTTGCTGCTGGCCTCCCCTGGGTTTCCCCAGTGGCAGTAAAGGAGACCTGGGTGAGGGTTCCATCGCTGTGTGAATGCCTCTGCAGTCTCTGAAAGAGGATTATGAGTATGTGTGCATTTCTTGGTGATTTTGCTTCTAAAAGTGTCCGCTGAACAAATGTGACAATCTTTTCTTATTGAGATGTACGTCATCTATTTGCGTGTGTGGAGGGGCTGATGTCTGCCATGACAAGAGTGTAGCAGCCAGAGGACAGTCTCTGGGAGATAGTTCTCTCTTTCTTCTGTTCTAGGATGGAACTTAGGCTTGGCTGCAAGTGCCCTTACCCACTGAGCCATCCTCTGCCTGCCCCTAGCCCCCTTCTATTAAATGTAAACTTAATAACAGGTAATATCTGTTACATTATTTATAACATGCTATTACAGAGGAGATATGTAAGAATATTCTATTGAGGGTTTAGATACGAAGGGATTAAATAGAACCTTTTAATCTGGTAAAGAGCGTCTCTCAAATTTGTTCACTAGTATTCAACCTTTGTCTGCCCCAAAGGAAGGCCTCATCATCCCAGCCAGTGGCTAAAAGCTGACATTTCTATAAGGAAGTGAATTGCATGACAACGTTCATTTCCTTGGACGGTCTTAAGAGCGAGCTCAACCTCCTCCCATTGTTTTTTTTTCTAACTTTTGCCACTGCCTCAAGCCAAAAATCTCTAAAAGGCTGTTTTATGCTGCCAAGAACCAGGCACCCTATCCGGCTTGAGCCCAGGCACAGAATGTCTTAAGTTACTGGAACACTCAGTGAAAACTGGCGAATTACATTAAGAACCTTTTACTGATATTCCAAACAGATCCTTGGTAATCTTTTTCCTTTTTCCATAGACACAAACAGCCATGCAGCTCAGCAGACAGGAATTCACCAATGCCTTGGTCATGTGGGGGGGGTTCCTGGCTCAACAGAGTGAGCCGGACCTCCTTGGGAGGTCCCTGGTCCTTCTGATGCAGAGGGGTCTGTGTAGGTGATTACCAAGGGCTTCCTTTCAGTCTTCTAAGGATGATCCAGGACTTTGCCTCCCGATTTCCTCACAGTTTCCTTTATAGTTTTTTTCCATCTTTAAGAAGGAAATGCCTCTACTTCAATTTGGTGCAATGGTTGGATCCAGGGCACTGTGGGGGGGGGGGGGGATATGAGTCACTGCCATTGTGGGATTACAAGGAGTGTCCCCTGGT